CCAGTCGCGTTACTAATATTCCCTTTCAGCGTTCTGAACTCTTCTATAACGCAATATTAATTTACACACGATACTATTTGAAGTGGTACATGGAAATAACTCTCCTAATGATCACATTAACGGTTTTGATTGATCGCTTTCCGCAACAGGTAGGAATATACCACACATGTATATACAGTAATATACCACACATGTCTGTAAGAGTAGTGCTCACAATTGTTTAACTGTTTAGACGAGTTGATAGAAATAATTTCTAGACAGAATGAATTATTTCATAGTCGTCAATAAACAACGATGAAAGTAAAATTTCATACGTATCACTTTTTCTACAAAAGTCGAAATTAAATTAGTTTTTTCTTAAACAACTTTGTTTTCCTTGATGATATCGTACACATAAAAGTTAAATAGCTAAAGGTATTAAAATGAATGACAACTATAAAAGTACTTTAAATAACAATTAAATATAAAGCTATGGTATGAGAAAAAAATTTACTTGACAAATTATAAGAACGAATAAAGAAAAAGCAATTGCTTTGCTTCTTTTTGTTGACCAATTTATGTACACGACATGTATAATTCCTTAATTGACAATTAGTCATATAGATCTACTGTTTCCTGCCGCTCCATTCATAAGATGTTTACTTGCAAGCAGTGAGATTCATCAGTGCCATGTGAACATCGCTCTATGATACGTAATGCGTCAATTATGATCCAGACGTCACGTCATACTGTAATAATTGCAATGCTAATATGGATAATCGAAGACGTGTTGTCCCTGATATGAATATTAAACCAACTCCCAAGTAATGCCCCGTAAGTATTAATAATAGTAATTCGATGTAGCTTACGACGCGTATAGAATAGAATATTTCAAAGTGATCTTGACTCTACATCCTTTACAATATTCTTCTACTGAAAAGAAGATCTGTTATTAACATTTTATACGCCGCCCGATTTTATGAAATACTTTTGTAGGAAGACTGGGTTCTTTCCTGGATTAAACTGCTATTTCACAAGTGAACAAAATTATAATTAAATTATAGTTTGTGAATCAGCAATCGATCGTCAAGTAAATTTGACAAATATTTACATTTAAATGCTGAAAGCATTGGTAACATTAAATAAACATGCATGTACTTAACAGAAGATTAAAGAAATCAAGGTAAATTGCGATTTCGCACTCGTTCTCAGTCGAATAGAAAATAACTAGTAGTTTGTACCACCGATATTGGTACCGAAGTGTGCATGATCAGTGTAATTAGGAAAAGTCGCGACACAAGGAGTGGGGTGGTGACGCATGCGCAGGGAGCGACGCGGCACGTCTAGCGGGTAAACATTATAATTCTGAACTACGGCGGCGACGCGACGCGGCGTAGAACTGCAGATACAATATGTATAATACAATAGGTGCCACCCTATAAACGCGTCACACCGCTGTACGGGATTCTCGCGCATGCGTAGCCTGTCCTCACTCTTTGCGTAGCGACTTTTCCTGAATACGTTGTGTATGATACACGTGTTTTACCAGCAGCCGTTAACATTAATTCGTGCTATGGCACTACTGTTGTACCAGTGACAGGTAAAGTGTTAAAATGAGCAGGCACAGTTTTAACCACAATTTAAAAGGGAGATTTAAAGTATTTAAGCATAGTCGTACNTCGCTCTATGATACGTAATGCGTCAATTATGATCCAGACGTCACGTCATACTGTAATAATTGCAATGCTAATATGGATAATCGAAGACGTGTTGTCCCTGATATGAATATTAAACCAACTCCCAAGTAATGCCCCGTAAGTATTAATAATAGTAATTCGATGTAGCTTACGACGCGTATAGAATAGAATATTTCAAAGTGATCTTGACTCTACATCCTTTACAATATTCTTCTACTGAAAAGAAGATCTGTTATTAACATTTTATACGCCGCCCGATTTTATGAAATACTTTTGTAGGAAGACTGGGTTCTTTCCTGGATTAAACTGCTATTTCACAAGTGAACAAAATTATAATTAAATTATAGTTTGTGAATCAGCAATCGATCGTCAAGTAAATTTGACAAATATTTACATTTAAATGCTGAAAGCATTGGTAACATTAAATAAACATGCATGTACTTAACAGAAGATTAAAGAAATCAAGGTAAATTGCGATTTCGCACTCGTTCTCAGTCGAATAGAAAATAACTAGTAGTTTGTACCACCGATATTGGTACCGAAGTGTGCATGATCAGTGTAATTAGGAAAAGTCGCGACACAAGGAGTGGGGTGGTGACGCATGCGCAGGGAGCGACGCGGCACGTCTAGCGGGTAAACATTATAATTCTGAACTACGGCGGCGACGCGACGCGGCGTAGAACTGCAGATACAATATGTATAATACAATAGGTGCCACCCTATAAACGCGTCACACCGCTGTACGGGATTCTCGCGCATGCGTAGCCTGTCCTCACTCTTTGCGTAGCGACTTTTCCTGAATACGTTGTGTATGATACACGTGTTTTACCAGCAGCCGTTAACATTAATTCGTGCTATGGCACTACTGTTGTACCAGTGACAGGTAAAGTGTTAAAATGAGCAGGCACAGTTTTAACCACAATTTAAAAGGGAGATTTAAAGTATTTAAGCATAGTCGTACATTATTTTCAATTTACTGAAGTTATTTAAGAAAAAAAGAATTTTCTGCCTGACTTTTGCTTGTGGCAGTTGACGAAGATAATTTTTATTTTGTCCAAAAAGATCCGTAGTTTAGTAATTACATGAAATTCTATCGCGTGTCTTTGAACAGTGTTTAAAAAAATTTATGTCAAACTTCTGAAGCGCGTAATACTCATGGAAACAAACGAAAAGATACATATATGTGGGCGTAATAATTATAAGTTATGAGTAGACTGTGAGTGTTTATGGAAATACATATTTTTTTAGAAGATAAATGTACTAATGGGACTTGGACTGAAATTTATATCGTAATCAGATAGTTCCAAAAATGTACTTTTTATTTTGTATATTGCACATGTTTCGCGTATTTATGTTTAAAAACATATGCAATATATCATATGTTCTCAATATTTTGTTCCGCGATTGCACGTTCAATATATATCTATTTTGAATTAATATTATTTGTATTTATTATATTTATGATATGAATACAAATATTACGCGAGGGGTAGATATTTGCCGCGAATGTCCTTGAGGAATCTATTAAGTACGTCGAAAAATTGTTAAACGTTTCATTACTTTAAATTTAATCAAGCCGATTTCATCGAACACTGATCGAAAGCAATAACTCGTGCATTATTTTGTTCGTAAAAATTACAAAAATGATAACTTGAAATCAGAACTGTAATTTTATTGTTAGACATGGTTTAGTATTAACTTGAAATTTTAGTTTCTCTACAGGTGTCTCTACGTTTACATTGTATGCGATACCGATCCGTTAATGAGCGCTCCAAATGTGGTTTTGACACACACAGACTCGGAGTCCGTGAAACCGCAGTCTTGTTGGCATTACTGTCGGAGGTGGTCAGCTATAAATATGTTAATAAAATACAATTATGACAATGGTGTCGACGGTGTTGCACGGTTTCCTGATTTCTGCAGTAATTGTATTCGGCTATACCTCTGTGAATAATGTAATATATACGTTGCAAATATTTTGAAAAATATCATTACCTTTATCGATAAGAGTTGTGTAATTATGCTAAGTAGCCGGAAGGAGTGACATTAATTACTGCAGGCGCAATTAAAGTTAATCAAATCGTTTACCTCTACTGTTTCGTGTCCGCATTTTATTACTACACCGATTACTTTACATAGCTCTCCGTGCCTACACAGCTATAAAATGGACTAGATAAAATTTCCATAAATTCCAGTGAATTCCAATGAATTTCACAATTTCGCAATACATAAAATCGTGTAGGTGAGGAAATGCTTGCCCTGCATGAAAATGTCGAGTGACATCAAATGTTATGGATGATTTAAATTATATGTATATGCGTATAAATAGAGTGCGAATTATTTGTGAAAAATAAAGATTCTCTATGTTGACTGTAAGAAACGTAAGCTTGACGATAATGTCTTTTCTCATCCAATCATTTCAGTATATGTTGTAGCTACGTAATATAAAAATATTCTTAAATTTTTGTCCTCTGTTCGTTTTTGTGTTTGCCTTTGTAATTTTCGTCAAAAATGCATAAACTCCACAGTTTACACATACAGTAATTTTTATTTTATACTAATGTTGTAATAAAAAGTGTGCTGTAGTATATAATAATAAATTTGAAGATTTTTAAGATAAAAAATTAACACTTTATTGTAACACTATTAAACATATTACTTTTATAAATATTTCCTGAACGAGTTTGTACTCATCCTTCAATAGGGTACTTATAAGCTTTTTATAAATATTTTTTCCAATTACATTATTGCTGCAGAAAATGTTCATTTTGCATTAAGTTCCGCGGACTATTTATTATAAATATATATAAAATATATAATAATATATATAATATATAGTATATGTATAAAAATATATAGTAGTATATATATAAATATATAAAATAATATATATAAAATAATATATATAAAATATATATATAAATATTTATTATAAACTATTATATAGTTTTTCAGTGTGTGCCATAATTTTTCTGTATTTCATCTTATCCTCGATTGTACGCGTTAATGTCATAAGATCTATTGTGAAATTTTTATAGAGTGGAATCGATAAGTTTTATTTCTGTCGTTTTGTAAGTCTATGTCCTCGGCAACCCCTAAGTGTGTGGTGAAACACGGTAATCGATATTCTTCGCGAAACGCGAAACTCGATACTCATTGCATATACGATATACTGTAAAAAGTGTTAAAACTCTGCACTGGTGCCTATGTTTCGTGTCGCAATGTTTATTTCAATCTCTTCTACATTTTTTGGAGTTAGATATTGACAACAATAACGTTCATGGATGAAATGCATTAATAATGTTATACATGAAAAGTACTCACAAGCTGACTTCTATTTCGAAGGAAATCCAATAACCAGCAGTTTATAGCATCTTTAATAGGTGTTCTTGTCCTACATTTACTCTGGTAATAAATCTGAAACACAATCGAATTATTTCCCATAGTAAATTTGTCGATTATTATCGTTTTCTTATTACTATTACAGATTAATGTACCGTAACAAAAAGATGCAAATAGATCTTTTACACTCACTTTCACCCTTGCATAATATAAATTGTGATATAATTACAGATATTTAAGTTATTCTTACTCACTAGTTTCGTTTAATTGCAAGATGGTGAATGTATGCAAATATATGTGCGTGTGTGTGTGCGTGTGTATACAAGAAATACCTTACCGAATTAGTTCTAAACATAGAAAATTATAGCAAGCTCGTAACTGTGTAACGCCGTCCTCTAAATATAATTGTAAATATAATTTATGAGCAATGCTGAAAAAATAATACATAATTTGTAATTTCACTATTTATAAATATTAATATACTACTATACTATAAAACTACATGTTTAAATAATTTGCTTATTTTATTTAATTTTTTAACGCCTTCTTCTAGTTTCAATGCATCTCATCAAAGGTTTAAATTCTTAAGCTAAATATTAAAGTGCACTTCAATTTATTATAAAACAGTTATTCCAGTTTAAAATGTTATTCTTAACAATAATTCAAGGTAATGGAAGAACTTCCTTCCGAAATTAATGATTCTGAAACTTCATGTTTTCATTATATTTTTATTCGCTTGTTTTAAAATACACCTCGCATCGTCCACGAGCTATACTATTTTGCGAATCTCGAGATCCGAAATAATTTTTCTGACTTATAGTATTTCCATTTTATATAACTTACAAGAAAGGGTTTTTAGATGTCCATTTCCTTTGGATATGTTATAGAGAACCAAAAAGTAAGGAGTAAGTATTTCTTTTATCGGCCCGTTTCCAAATTTAAGGGGAGAAACCACTCCTCCAAGTTGATAAGATGGAATACGAAAAATTATAAACCTAATTTATGGTATATCTGGGTGGGGGAATACTGTTCTTGTTGTCGATCACCCTTGACACGGAGTAAACTACCCCTCATTGTTTCAGTGCACATTTAAAGGACTTGAAACCTGCAGGAAGTTCATATAATCTTTAACAAATTTTAGTTTTCACTCTAACAAATTATTATGCGGTAACAAATTAGTGTGGATTTATGACCTTCAACTCTAACTAAGAGATAAACCACTCATAATTGTGATGAACTACATTTGCTTTAATAAGGTGCGAAATTTTTGTATTTCTTTTCACTGCTGTTTCAATTTGGGTTCACAATTGAATGGTGTTTCAAAATAGGTACTTTTATCTTAGGTGAAATACGAAACGGCGACGCTATTAGAAAAATGTATAACAATACGATTACATTATTTAGGTCTTGCTAAAATTATTCAAAACGGGAATAAATATTTATGCAGTTTCTGTTTCTTGCAACCAATGCACGAAATGTTTATTTTGCACAAAGATCCGCAGTCTAGTTATTACAAACTATGTACTTTGATACGAGGGCGTCATTAGTGAATTCGTAGTTGTGCGACTTCCCGGAACAACTGCAAGCTTTTGAAGTGGTCAGATATTTGAAATAGGCTTGTCTGGTCGAATTGAGGGGTTATTCGTCACCCGACAGGGAGAAAGAAAGCCCTGAATCGGTGAAAGTAGTGGGAGGCCACCTAGCAGTCTAGAAACTATCTCCGACCTAACTACATATACATAGATGGAGGCCGGTGCGGCGTAATACCGCGTTCTTTCGACTTTACGCGACCGATGCGACGGCACGCCGTGGAACTCGTCGTTCGCGCGATCACAGCGCGCAGAGCACGGGGAGGGTAATAAGAGAGGGAGGAAAGTAGAGACGGGACCAAGAGGGGATTGGCAGTGCGACAAACGCTACGCTGGAAATAGCCACTGAGGGGTAGAGACTCCGAGTTATAGTTAGCTTCTCTTATAGTTAGCCGGTGACTAGTTCTCCGCAGAATGCGAAATGGGTCTCTCTCTTTCTCCTCGCTTTCTCCGTGACTTTTTCCCTCCTACCTTTCCGGCAAACGCTTTTGTATCTCTTATCGAATTTACAGACGTATTCTTACGTTGCTTTTTTACTTTCTGACGCGGTCACGTCTTCTTTCGCCTCTCGATCTTAATCGTTCGCCCTTACCGCATCGGTCCACGGTACCCTTCTGTTTCGAGCTGGTTATTTTGCCTGCGCGTTATTTCTGCACAGCAGTCTGCTGCATCGGGATAGTAGACGGTCTTCGAACATGTCTTGGCCCAGACTCCATGAACGCCGAGCGACGGAATTTTCAGAAAAAGAAGAGGCACCGTTGGTCGGGTCGGGAATGAATTCCGGCGGCACGCACGGAACGGTATGGGATTTATGTAGGATCGAGAGGGGTTGCTGCGGAACGAGCTGTTATGACCGATCGATATACGGATTGGTAGCGATGTCGTTTAACATGTTATCGCTGCAACGATCGAACTCGTCGAAACGACAACTTCCAGATTCTTTGTTTTACGATTCAGTGAATTAGAATGATGGTGGCGTAAGTCACATTTTTCTTATCGTTTACTAACATGTATATTCTTTGCTGATCGAAATGTTTAATAAAGATAATTTAGAGTTAAGTTAATTTACAGTAACTTTATAATTTAGTCCACTTGTCTTTTTAACATTTAATTATTGAGATTGCACCGATGATTCTGTAATAGGTGGTCATATACAGGGTGGTCCGCGCATCTCGTGCATCTCTATAACTTCTAAAATATGCATTGCACGAAAAAATTTTGCATACAAAAGTTGCATGGTTTGAAGGGGCAAAATTCGTCTTCTTTTATCCAATTTTTAAAAATATGAATTTATATACTTATTTATAAAATAATTCGAAGAATTAGTCTTCATTAATCTTCAATAATTATTTGTAAAATGTCAATCAATTGTTAAATTTAATAAGTAATCGAATTGAATTAATAAGTAAAAACAAATTCATGAGCAGCGGCCTATTCTTTTTTAAACTGAAGTTTTCATTTTCAAGCGCTTCGCCGTAAAAACGATGCCGGACCTACTAGACAACGGTATTGGATAAATAATGGGATCGTTAAGGATCATGGAATGACAGATATTAAGTTTTAAAATGATTGATTTTTCAAATATCTTGGTAGGAAGTTTCGAAAATATTGGTTTTGGAAAAAACCCCGGATTACCTACGGAGATTTTTCCGATTTAAAAAAATTCTTAAATGTCGCATCATTTTCTGACGATCAAGTTAAAGGCTCGTCAGTTTAAATCCTTAGGAAACGAATGCTCTAAGAAAGTTACAATTTTGAATAATATGTCAGCTTATTATTTATATTTCGAGCTGCTTATGTTCTCATGGCCGAGTGTTGGTGAGCCATCCTACGATTTCTCATTCGAGTTGAGTGATCAGGAAAGATAATCGGCTGACAACCAAGAAGCAGTTTTCCCGTGCGTGACTTCCGCCGGATTCGTGTCGACAACGCTTCCATTAATAAGTAGACAGTCGCGCATATCCATCGACGTTTCTCAGACGAATTGGCATTAAGCATACAATTCGCATACGTGTGCTCGACAGTAAACGCACTCTGCATACGGACGTAAGTATGTTACACCAATATTTAGATCGATTTCTTAGGACCGAATGCCAACTTGCTCTAAAAAGATAGGAGAAAGTCGGATAGAGTACCCGGTGTAGTCAAGAAAATCAACTACGCAAGGAGACGCATGCGCAGGGAATCCCGCACAGCGGCGTAGGGCGTCTACCGGGCGAACATTACAATTCTGGACTACGATCAGAGAGGGGCCCTGCGTCATGTCACCATCGTAGTTCAGAATTACAATATTCACCCGGTAGACGTCCCACGCCGCTGTGCAGGACTTCCTGCGCATGCGTCGCCTGCGTAGTTAATTTTCTCGACTGCACCGATAGTTCCTATTAGCGCGCAGTGGCACCGATCGCAATTCTAGCTGGACAAATGTTTCGAAACGAACTGTGTCACAAGGTTTACTCTCCGAATTCATCCTTTTGCAGACTATATTCACCTTTTTTGCAAAATACAATCATCCTTTCGCAGGTTACATTCGCGTTTAAATCAAATTCATCTTTCTGTAGGACATCTCGAAACAAACTTAAGCTTTTGCAAATCAAATTTATTGCTCGAATGTCTCGAGAATATAATACATCTTCCCCGAATTTATGCGAATTTCCATGCCACGTGGATTTATTTTACGCAAATGAAAATCGCGTACATAGGATCTAAAAATACGCAAAAAAATATTGGAAATAGAAGCTAGTATAAATTTTAGAAATTACAAATTTATTTCATCGAACTCAACAAAGAAATAATTACGACATTTCAGAAAACAAAAGTAAAGTCTATTCGGTGTCACTGTCATTACTGTAATTTCAAACAATCAATCTTTTCTTTTTAACTGGTACAAACTGATCATTTTCATCACTTGAAATATTTGGAAATCCAACTTCAATTTCATTGTTGATGTCAATTTTTTGCTCAATACTTCCTTTTACTAAGTTTTCATAAATCTGCTGATATTCATCGTGATATTCGCATTAACGGCACTTTCTAATTTTTGAATAATTGAAGAGAAATTGATATCGCGGATAAAAAATACCGCATAAGTATTGTTGTAATTTACCGCGGAAAAACGTGCCGCGTAAATTGAGGGACGATGGTTGAAAACTCGAGTGGTGAAACTCACATTTGCTAAATTTATTTTCTAGAACGTGTTTTATACCGAATTCGGTTGAAGCGTTAAATTTTACGTAAAAAGGAGTTACACCAAATGAGTCTAAAATACCTCGTTACTGAGATACAAGCAAAAAAAGGTTTTATTTTAAGCGATGTTCGAACTGTTGTCCATTACAATCGATACAATTGCGTACTATATTAGATCCGACCGCGAGCACACGATCGTATTGGTATCCCGCTGTCTTGCTCTTAAAACATTAATATTCTTGCGGGATATTGTTCTAGACGTATTCGCTGATACTTTCCTTGCAAGAGCATGTTACGCGG